AGCTAGCTGAAAAGATAAGTATATGCATCTTTCTTACGCAGTTAGTCAGCATAGTTGTAAGGAGTGTGTGTGTGTGTGTGGGGGGGGGGGGGGTGTAGCATTTTTATAACTAGTTAGGTTAGCCTGGAATAAAACAGTTATAAAAGCTCTGTTTTTACTTAAAATAACAAACATGTTTTACTCACCTGGTCTGTGCAATGCATAGCACAGAGCAACCCCGAAGCTCTCGGCTCCTTCTCTTCTGTGTTTGCCCCCATAGCAAGGGAGAATGTCACCAGCACACTGAGGATCACCAATATGGGTCCTGATGAAGGGGTCCTGAAACTTTCTATAACTGTGATTGTTCATTAAAACTTTTGGACCTATATTGGTGATCCTCGGTCTGCTGGTGATGGTTGCCCTTGCTGATTCTGTTCGGTTCCAGCTGATGGTCGCTGCAGCACCCACTTATGCACTCAATCATTTGTAACTCAGGAACGTGTGAGTTTGGATTGTACACTTGCCCCCATATCAAGCGCACATATCAAAGTGCTGCTCAGCCCTGCCTCTCCCTCCTCACAGGATTGACTGACAACTGCAGGAGCCAGTGGCTCCCACTACTCTCAACTAAACTTGTGAAAGGGAGGTGAGAGTACTGAAGCTGGGCACAGTGCTGGATCAATACTGGATCATAAAAACTGTTCAGGGAAGTTTAGCAAAAAGTGTCCTCCTGTGAATATTCAGCAAATCTGGAGTATCCCATATCAGCCTACACTCCATCCAAGTTATTTGTGAAGTTAGCATGGAGAATATCAAAGGTAGCTGTTTAACACTCACCTTCTGAATTTTACACCTGCGATAAATAAAAGGACCAACATGGCATATCTTATCTACAATGTGTATTAAATGTAATAAAGGTCAGCTTCACTTTTCATTCAAGGTTGCTTAGTGGAGGAAGGGTAGGCAAATGTGTTTTGTACAAGACTGATTATTAACATTCATGAGTGATTACATGCAAGTGGGTGTGAATAGCTGCAAGCTTTGATGGGACTGCCTAGTTGCAGCAAATCATGGGAACTCCATGCTGGGGTTCTTGTAAATAATCGCAGGCAGCGTGCGTTCACAGGTGTATGGTTGGTGTATGTAGAAATAGATTGAAACAATAACCCACCTAGGGGGACCAATAGTCTAGTTCTCTGCTTAAAAGTTGCATTCTGAATGAGCTTAGTTTAGCATTTCCATTTAGCATTTCCACAAGGACTTCTGTGAATCTAGGAGACTGAGGAGGGAGATCAGAAAACAGTCCTAGTCAGGGGCGGACTGACCATTTGGAAACTCGGGCACTGCCCGAGGGCCCGGGGTCAGTAGGGGGCCCCTTGAGATGCCCCTGGTACCTTTTTCATAGGCTTTTTTGAGTTTGGGCAAGGACACAGGGGCCCCATGATCCCCTATTGCCCGGGGGCCCCATGAGTTGTCAGTCCGCCCCTGGCCAGGACACAGGGGCCCCATGATCCCCTATTGCCTGGGGGCCCCATGAGTTGTCAGTCCGCCCCTGGCCAGGAAACAGGGGCCCCATGATCCCCTATTGCCTGGGGGCCCCATGAGTTGTCAGTCCGCCCCTGGCCAGGACACAGGGGCCCCATGATCCCCTATTGCCCGGGGGCCCCATAAGTTGTCAGTCCGCCCCTGGTCCTAGTATCTATCAAACTTAGAATATAAGTTTAATGGATCAAAAATACAGGTACATACTACTCTAAAATAGGTGACTAATAAAAAAAAATTATATTTATACATATATATATATATATATATATATATATATATATATATATATATATATATACACAGTATATATATTGATCAGAAAAGACCTCTGTATAGTGTAGTATTTTTGGATGGTTGGGACTGTTAATTATCAGTTGATAACTCTATCTTGATGCAAGATGCTCAGGACTGTGGGATTGCTTGAACCAAGGAAAGTCCAGCGACCTACTAATATGCCTGTAGAAAGTATGTTGGTTGTCTTCATGCATACTGTCAGTCTCCGGTGATGGGGTTCCCAGGCTCTCCTGGTTATTTTTGGTTATTCAAATTTTTGGTTATTCATTGTGCAGTAATAGATTATAGTAAAAAAAAAAACCTGTATTTTACTGAGGTGCCTCCTAGTGAGGTGGTGCTTTGTAAAGAGTCTTGATACCAAGGGTTTAGGAGAAAGAACTTTGATTGATTGACTTCATTTCACCTGTGTGTTTCAAGGTGCTATGTCCACTAGGGCATGATTGGGAATGTGTTTGATTATATTTCAGTTGGTTTATGCTGTCCTTGCAATTAGTGAAGCTCCAAAAACACAAGTGAATGTCATGCTATCAGCAGTCCAAACTCAAAAAGAAAAGCCTATTAAATTACAACAAAAAACTACAATTCCCAAAACAATACCCCTATTTTTAAAGAAGGCCTTGCAGCAAAAATAAATAAAGAAAAACAATTTAACATAAAAAAAAAAAAAAAAAAAATGAACATAAAAAGAAATGCATACACATCTCCTCCCCATCCCCCCCAAAAGAAATTAAAATCCTAGAATATAATCCCAGTAACGAAAGCTAATTTTTTTACTTCCCTTTCAGATGGGCGTTCCAAACAGGTCCGTCTGTCAGTTTTTTCAGGTGGACCTGATCGAAAAGTCCATTCATCCCTATGGACAGGTGGGTGTAAATGGGCTTGTGTCCATTTACAGCTGCCTACCTCTGGGTCTAGCCCTAATGCCCCGTACGCACTATAAGAAAATCGGACGGACGATTGTCCGGTTATCATCGATTGTACGCTGCTGGTCGAAAGCGATGTGTTTTATGCATGATAATTTTGTATGATATTAAGGCATTGCGTGCAAACGTCGTAGCGTAGCTTGGGAAATGATGTAATGTACGTGTGACCCTGTAGCCACGCCTTTCGGTGCCATATTTGTTTTCCCTCAGCGACGGATCTTTCATGACGAATTTTCGGAATAGTAATGTATCCGAATGTTCTGAAAATACTGCAATTGCCATTATGGGTTTTGGAATTCTGGCCACACAGAGGCAACAGAGAAAAAAGACAAAAAGTGGTTATTTTTGTAAAATGGTATATAGTGAATAATAGAGTTATTGTTGAAAACATATATAATTTTTAATTGTGGTTTTATTTTTACAACATGCAAACACACACATTCATTGTGATGCAGTGACATATGTAATGTTTGTTTTTTGGGGGTTGGGTGAAGAAAACTGTTTAATAACATTAATGACATTAATGGCTGTAATGCTACGAATATTCCGTGGCGTTTACTTTCTTCAGGTTCTTTCGAATCATAAGCAGCTTCCGATTATGCGTGGTCTTTCATATCCAATTTTTCTCATATGAAAACTGTACACATTAAACAAAAATCGTTCGTTCTGTTCCCAAACGACAAAAATTTTGATGTTTGCACTATCGTCAATTTTCGTTCGTAAGATCAGAATCGGCTGTCGAAAATGATGTACACACCGTCAGAAAATTGCACGACTGCACGAGTACGTTCATCCGATTTTCTTATAGCGTGTACGGGGCATAAGTCTAACTCCATCCTCTTCAATTTAGTTGGGTGCAACGTGGCAGGTGATTTTCATACCCTGGGATTTTCAAATTGCATGCCAAGTCGCACCCTATTGTCCGCAATTGGAGCGGTCATATCGGTACGGTTTCAACTTGGTCGGAGCAGCACTGATTTCAAAAGTAGTACATGCACTATTTTTGGTGCGATTTGCAAAGACATCTGTATCAGATTGAGATATTGCCTCTACTGGCCACTTCCTTTTTTAAACATTTTTTTCATAAAGTGAAAGGTTGTATTCTGACTCAGGTTGTTGTGATAGCAATTTATCCCTTGTGAGACCTCTCTGCCTAGCCTGTATAAGCAGATATAATCACTGTGGGCAATCCTTATCAGATAGCTGAACTCACCAATACTGTGTTCATCCAGAAGTTGCTTTATTCTGTACATGTGACAACAGGATACAGCAGAATGAATGGTTTCCAGTATTATGCGGTCAAAAGATGATACTTTCTGTAGTGTACTATGCAGAATACATGTGTCCCTGTTACATGTGGTCTGTTAGCTGCCTCCATGACACAGGAAGTGCTGTACTCAAGAAGAAGGGAGGAGCTTCATATGCAAGGAACGCTGTCATAGATCTCAGGGAGGTAATATGAAAAACAAGTGCATTACCAAATAAGGCCACTGGATGGCAGCATATAACTAACTATAGAAATATCCATAGGAAATGGTACAAAGATTAACTATATGAATTCTCATGTACATTAACATAAATATTAACTGTGTAACAGCATAGGTTGGTTGCTATTGGTAATATCCACACTTCTTATGTTTTTCTCCAGGTTTTAATAAATAGCTCAAATGATACTTTCCTTGAAATGGGAAAAATATTTTTTTTCTGTATGAGCTAACAGCCCTCCTCCATACTTTACACACAGTTTTTTACTTTTCTGGTCCCTCAATGCTGCAAAAATATAATGTGATCAAATATAATACTCTCTGCTTTCTTTTGTAGAGCTAGACTTCTTTTTGACATAAACATGGTAGACTGATTGTGGTGATGGAGTTTAGACTGATTCTTTAAACATACATAAACATAAACATACTGTATGCATTGCAAGTGGTCATCTGAATTAAATTACAGAATTGTTTTCACATTGTCCCTGCTCCCAAACGAATAGCTTATGATATATTTTTTTGTTTTACAGATTTCCAGTTTAGCAGTCAAACTAGACTTTCATCATGGTTAAAAGGGTTGCAGTGATTGGTGCTGGTTGCAGTGGGCTGGCTGCTATCAAATGCTGTCTTGATGAAGGTTTGGAACCCACTTGCTTTGAAAAGAGTGGAGATATTGGTGGACTCTGGAGATTTAAGGTATTGTCAGCACATTATGAACAGTTTATGTATCTTTAAGTACATGTGGAGCATAACTGCTAAATACAGCAATTTGTGTATACACAGGGGTGGACTGACAACTCATGGGGCCCCCCAGGCAATAGGGGATCATGGGGCCCCTGTGTCCTTGCCCAAACTCAAAAAAGCCTATGAAAAAGGTACCAGGGGCATCTCATGGGGCCCCCTACTGACCCCGGGCCCTTGGGCAGTGCCCGAGTTTCCAAATGGTCAGTCCGCCCCTGTGTATACATATAATGCATATATACATAGAATGCATAAATACATAGAATGCAGTTATATGTATCCTTCTTGGACTTGGATACTAGTGATGAGCAAATCTGTCCAGGTTCAATTCACATAGGGGTTTGGCGAATCATGTTATAAAATTTGGAGAACCCAACTTTGCCACAGATTGCATTAAGGGCAATTGGGCAGGGGGAAACTTTTGTTAGTCAATTTGTAGGGCTAATAGGTATTATAAAAAAGGATAAAAAAGAAAGAGAGTGAGAAAAAGACATAGGAAGGTGGGTAGTGCGAACTGTGAACCTGTGCCAATACAGCAGGGGAAGGGTTGTGTTGTGCAAAGTCAAGGATAACATGGAAAATATTTAAAGTGGTAGTAAACCGCTCAATAAAAAAAAAACAATGGGTCCCCTGCAGATCTAAGCCATAATATGTTAATATGCACTGCATGCTAGCACATTAGGACACACTTACCTGCTCACAAAGGCCTCCAGAGCCGTGCTGTCACTGATTCCCCAACACTTCCATCTTGACCTGGTTTTCCTTCCAGGTTTGTGGGCTCCGGCTGTTTGACTGGCCCATGCCATAATGACTCCCACGCACGGGCACAGCGTTCTGCATTCAACTGCATATTGTGTGTCCTGAATGCAGAGCATCACTGCACGGGTAAAGTCATCAGCTATTGCTGACGTGAATATCTCCTACGTTTCGGAGATATTCACTGTACCTACAGGTAAGACTGATTGTAAGCTTATCAGTAGGTACAAGTGAAGGGAAGTATACTACCGCTGTACATTCTTAAAACTACAGGTTAGGGATGCCTTAAAGTTATTACAGAATGGTGTGATTTTTACATACAGCCTCAGCATATTTTGGCTGGAATTGGCTGTGGAATTGATTTCATAAGCTGGAGTGTCCCTATACCAAATTTAGGCAGTCAGCCTGAGCTCTAAGACCTGGTTCAAACCTATGCATTTCTTAGTGTGTTTTGCAAAAATGCGCTACAGTCCATTTAAGTTGGTTTCCTATGGGACACATTCACATCTCTCCATTTTCAGCTGCATTTTTGGAAAGTATCAGTGACTTTTTTTCCCGCAACAAGTGTTGCATTTTTGATGGGTTTTTTTGCCAACAGGAAAGTAGTACAGAAATCTTTTCAAAGTTGTTCAAAAGATTAATGCAACTCTGAGTGCCAGAGAGTGTAAAGTCGCATCAAAGTGGCATCAAAGTAATTCAGGAACACTTTCAAAGTCGCAGTGGCTTTTAAAACGTTCCCGCACTACTTTGATGTGAGGTTGATTCTACATTGAGTTCCAGAGAGTGTAAAGTCACATAACATTTGCATCAAAGTTGCTCTCAATACTTTCCTGTTGGCAAAAAACCCGCTTCAAAAAGGTGTGAAAAACCCAACAGAAAAATGCATCAATCACAACATGCATAGGTGTGAACAAGGCCTAATTGTTGCTGTTGTTGTTTCTGTATTCATTGGGTTTCCCCTAAGTTCAGACTTTATTTTGCTTCTGCCTGTTGCTAAGGAGTGTTCCCAGCAGATAGAGCGAGAAGAAACAATATAACTGAGTTATGAGGTTTTATTTCTCTGTGGAATATCACTTGAAGGTTCATTGTCAGTGAGGAGGGGGAAGATATAAACATTTGCAGTGAGTTTGGAAAGCTCAGCTGACCCAGGCTTTGCCTGGAGAGGAGGTTGTGCTGGAAGTCTTTGCCTCCCAGGCCTGCTGTATAGGTAGGGTATTTGCTAAAAGAAGGACCAAAACTTAGACCTAAAGAAAATGTTAGTCAATGACTTGGGGCTTGAAAGATCTTTGGTGTCCTGCCTGAGGTTTCATCCAGAGGAGGTGGAGGAGTAGAAAGATGGCTGCTTGTATGTAGCATCTTGGATGAAGGCTTCTGTGCTGAATACTATCCTGGAGATATGGGTTTAAGCTACTGGTGGTATTACAAGGAGTGCTCAATGCTCACCCATTAAGGTACCTAAGACTGAACATATAGTTTTGGATCTGTTAGGCTTCTCTTAAAGGGCAAGGTACCTACGTTACTAGAAGTGAAGTCTGGAGCAGTGTTTGTATCTGTTTTCAGGTACCCTGTGCCCTAACCATCTCTGCTGAGTTTATTGAGCTAAATAAGCCTTCAGAAATACTAAAGTGACTGATCCTTAATTTCCTTTTTACCCACGATAAGTCAAGAACTGAAATGCTAGCACATGAATCCACCTAGGAGCATCAACCACCGGTCAGTGGTAAGGGAATGCTACACTTTTATACAACAGCAGCACCCCTTGTGTGATTCATTTCAATTTTAATAAAGGACATTTTCCAGTAGTTTTAGCAGCAACGCATGCTTTTTTATCAATCAAGTACTAAGGCTGCTTTGATTAGTGGATATAAATTGGCCAGAGGTTTTCTGTGTCGGTCTCTGTTCCCACTTATGTAAAATTGTCCTCCCACAGATTAATTTAAATCAAATGCTGAGAGAGCTGTGAAAAAATGGCCAACAGAAGGACTGATTTAATCAGTGAGAAAGGCCACAATACAGAGACACAAAGCACAAACAGAAACAAGACCCCACCACTGCAATGAATGGAAATTACATTTTGCCTTCTCTGTCCTCCCTACAAGCTGCTTCCTATGGGGGAACTTGGGAATACTTGATTCACAGCCCACTCTCTGCTCACTGGTTTCAATTAACAACATCAGGATCCAATGGCTCCCGCTGCTTTCAGCCAAGCATGTGAGAGAGGGTAGAAGGGAGAAGAGCTGCTGCAGACATGCACGGTGTTGAACCAAGATTGGGCACGGAGAGTATTTGGGGGGGGGGGGGGTACTATGAAAAGGTTTCTTACCCTAATGCAGAGAATTCATTACAGTGTTACTAAACCCACAATGCTAAAATCAGTCTGTATATGCAGTAAAGCATGCTTACTATACTCACTGTGGAACCTAAGGGGTTAATCCTTTCTTATTATCTAAAAAGGCTGATTGATCCTGTCTTCTCTGACCCTTCCCTTCTTCTACTGTCCCAAATACATCCTCTGATAGTACAGAGTTTTAGGTGTCACACTGCACAGGTTGTGTATTGATAGTTTTTTTTTCTTTTGGAGTTTTGGAGGGTGTATGTGATTGGCACAGGGCCAATCAGCACTGTCGAGACAGAGAGTCAGGAGTTATGCAGCCTCATAGGACAGTCAGAGGACAATGAAAACTCCTCCTACACACTTTAACCAGTGCTCAGCTGGATACTGATAAAAGTCACAAGACTGCTATATACTGCTTATGAGAAAAGGTATTTAGCAGTTTAAATTTACTAAAACAATTGCATTCCCATGTTTTCTGTACTGTGGGAGATCAATATAGTGAATTCAGGGTCCTGGGTTTAGTAACACTTTAAGGTAAAAAAACCCTTTACCTTTACAACCACTTTAAAGCCTAGTACACACGGGCTGAATGTTGGGCGGCATCAACCAGTTCAATAGAGACCGGCCGACTATGGGCTAGACAGAAGCCAGTCGTTCAGCAGGATTCTATCAAAGGGGCATGATGACCAGGGGCGGACTGACCATTTGAAAACTCGGGCACTGCCCGAGGGCCCGGGATCAGTAGGGGGCCCCATGAGTTGCCCCTGGTACCTTTTTCATAGGCTTTTTTGAGTTTTGGCAAGGACACAGGGGCCCCATGATCTCCTATTGACCGGGGGCCCCATGAGTTATCAGTCCGCCCCTGGGCATGACCAAAAAAGGTTCTGCCAATCAGCTCCCAATCAGAGCTCTTAGCCAATGGCTGGGAGCGCTAACCAAAATGTCCTAACTGGGGGACCGCTCCCCCCCTTGTCAGAGCACAATAGCTCACCAGAGGAAGTTGCTGTACTAACATCACATAGTTAATACAGTGGCTCCTCCTGAGTTGTCAGTTTTTTTTCATTCAGCCTGCTGGTTGAAAAAAAAAATGGTAGTGTATACTAGGCTTTAGGCTGCTGTGAGCCCACCCTTGTAGGTGTCCACTGGACACAGCAGATCAAGGTGCTTGGCACCAATTATGGAATACACATGATTACATTTAAGAAGTACAAGGGTCGCTGGTTCGAATCCCAACCCCGGCACCACCTGCCTGGAGTTTGCATCTTCTCCCTGTGACTGCGTGGGTTTCCTCTGGGTACTACGGTTTCCTCCCACATGCCAATGACATGCTGGTAGGTTAATTGGCTCCTGTCTAAATTGGCCCTAGTATGTATATGTATGAATGTGTGTTAGGGACTTTAGAGTGTAAACTCCTTGAGGGTTAGGGACTGTTGTGAATTTACAATATATGTATGTAAAGCACCACGTAAATTGACGGCGCTATATAAGTACCTGAAATAAATAAATAATAAAAATTATCATAAATAGCTTCAATCCATGACAGCTTGCTTACTATTGTCATGCTATGAATGTCCCACAAGTATCACATGGTACCTGACACCTTGTACCATGTGATTACCTGTAGCCAATCACGATAGTATGCAAGCTGTCATGAATGAAAGCCATTCATGACAGTTAAAACTATTGCTTACAACAGTGATAATCACAGTTATAAGCAATTATAGTGTAAAAATCACTATGGCGACACTGAACTGCTCTGATGACAGTATTTAAAAAAAAATGGTGAAAAAAATGCTAAAGATAAAAAAAGGTTGAAAAAATTAGTTAAATTAGTTGAAAATAATTAGCAGTTCATAATGGTTCTGTTCCTTCTTATCTGCCATCAATTCTGCTGTACTTCTACACCTCATATGTTATCAGGCTGCATTATCCATATAATCTCTCTGCCTAAATCTCTTATTTAATTCCCTGCATTCAGTATCAAAACTTGTCATATCAGAACAGTTCCTCCTGGATCCCATACAGTATATTGTGCCTTGGAAC